GACATCAAATTAGGATTCAGGTTAAAAATTAATATATTTTTGTAACCAACAAGACAAATTAAATTAAATATATGGATTTAATTATGATATCAGAATGATCCAGGTATCAAAATGTAGCTTTTAAAGCCAAGAATCTGAAAATGTAATTAGGTAATTTTGACCAAATGTGACTTAATCCTCATTTTGATATGATGGCTCACATATTTATACATCCTAACGTTTGTGTGGAATATGGCGTATACAGTGGAGGAAGTAAGTATTTGATCCCTTGCTGATTTTACAAGTTTTCCCACTTACAAAGACATGAACAGTTTCTGGCAAACAAGACTTAATACTTGGTGGCAAAACCCTTGTTGGAGCACAGCAGTCATTGATGATGAGGTTCCCACATTTCAGGAGGATTTTTGGTCCACTCCTTTTTGCAGATCATCTCTAAATCATTAAGATTTTGAGGCTGTCACTTTGCAACTTGGAGTCTCCATCCATAGGTTTTAGATGGGATTAAGATCTGGAGACTGGCTGGACCACTCCATGACCTTAATGTGTTTCTTTTTGAGCCACTCCTTTGTTGTCCTTGGTGGTATGTTTTGGGCCATTGTTGTGCTGGAAGACCCAAACACGACACGTCCTGAAGGAGGGAGGTTGTCACTCGTTATTTTACAGTACATGGCTCCAACCATTTATGTGATGAAGTAGTCTTGTGCCTTTAGCAGAGAAACTCCCCAAAAACAATGTTCCCACCTCCATGCTTGATAGTGGGGATGGTGTCCGAGCGGACTCTGCCTGGTGGCATTAATCGTATTAATCAGGTGCCAAAAAATAATTGATTGTTTTTCTGACGATTAATTGCACACGATACGATTATACCCAACCCTAATGTGATCTGAGCAGAACTGAAAATAATAAAACACAACACGTATTACTTCTTTCATCGTTTTGTCGAGATCAACAGGCATACCTTTACATGCCAACGCATGTCGATGAATAAAACAGTGATTCCACGCTATGTCTGCGCCAGCTGCTTCTTTAATTTTTTTCACAACTCCACTGTTTTTGCCCGTCATATTTGCAGCTCCATCAGTAGTTATGCCTTTACAGTGGCTCCAGTCCAGGCCACACTTAGTAGTCACATAGTTGTTCAATTCACAAAATATTTGCTCACCTGTGGTCCCAGTAGGAATAGTTAGGCAGCATAATAAGTCCTCCACAAATTCTTTTTCCCAGGCATACCTCACATAGACCAACAAAGTTGCACAGTCTGCAACATCTGTGCTTTCGTCCATCTGAATTGAAAAGTCCCCTGCCATCTTCAGTCTTGAAAGAAGTTGCTCCTCAAGGTTGCTTGAAATATCAGTAATCCTTCTGGAAACTGTGTTGTCACTCAGTGGAATGCATTTTAATTTTTCTGCAGTTTTTTCATCGATGATTGTACTAACCATGTCTATTGCAGCAGGCAGGATTAATTTTTCTGCAATCGTGTGAGGCTTTTTCTCTGTGGCCACACGGTAAGAAACCATGTATGATGCAAGATGAGCTTTGTCATTCAATGTCACATTTCTTCGAAGAAGATCAGCAGACGATTTTATCTCCTGTGCCTTTCTTTGAAAAAAATCGAGTGGTTTATTAACCAACTCACTGTGGACAGTTTCCAGGTGTCTCTTTAGTTTGGTAGGCTTTAAACTTTCATTTGCAAGTTTTTCATGGCATATTACACACATTGGTTTTGCTTCTTGATTTGAGTTAGAATAATTTACAAATCCATAACTTAA